GTCCGGTTGGATCTGTAAAACTTTAAAAAATTTAGAGTGTTCAGTATGTAAATCTCACATAGTTGGTCAATATTCCGAAAATGAGCCCTGCTGCTATGAATTGATCAGTACAAGAGAATTATAACCCAACACGTCAAAAATTAACATATTACAATTTAGAGTTTATAAAAAACCCCAACAAAATATATAATATTAAAATCAAAATTTTAACTGTCCTTCGATATCACATTAATTTTTCATTCACCTGTGAGCATAAAAACAAAATTGAAGAAGAAATTATAGACAAAATGGTTTCTTTAACAATATTTACTTATGTTAAAGGGTTGAATTTAATTTTAATAAGCGGTAAAGATACGCGAACAAAAATATTTACTAATAATGTTTATAAAAAAGCCTCGGAATTGTATAACAAAAGGTTAAAAATAAAAAATCGAAAGTATTCGTAGCATTTTCTTTTCTGTAAAAGTGTGAAAAAATAAAAAAAATTAAAATAAATGTAAAGTCCTCGGAGGCAGTGGTTTTGCACCGTCACCACGCCGATAGATGGCTCTGCACCCAAAATTTCTTATAGGGACTTTGCGTTCTATATTATGGTTTTATTTTATCTATGCATTCTGATTTATCAAGTCAGCAGAAGCTCAAAAATGACTTTCTGTTGAACATGAGCAAGAGACTATGGCAGGAGATAGACAATAGATTACGTACCGTCACTTCCATTAAGAGAGATTAGGATTGAGTTTAAGATTTCTGTTTTATTAATTTTAATTCTTTTTTAAGTATTAATAATATTGTTACGATTTATGGAAATTACATTGACGTAGGTAAAACTCAACAAATTATTTCCCAGCAATCCAAATTTACACGACCAACTACAGTGCGAAAATGTATAACAGCGAATATTTCCAAGTCAACGTGAGTTGTACTTATTCACCGGCTCGGCTAGATTAGATTAATCAGACTGTTCCCGACGGTGGTTCCTACTTAAAAGCCATGCGTCGCTTTCGAGGTTGTTCTGGAGTCCTTCATCGAGGCTTTCGGCGAACTGCTTCCAGGTTTTTTTTTTATTCGAACGATGATGAATCACCGGTCATCACCGTACATACTGGAAAACCCATACGCGTCGTACTAGGGCGGCGTATGCGTTTATTTCTTAATAATATTTATGTTAAGCGAAAATGTTAAAAACTCGACAGAGATAAAAATACTGACTTCTTAAGGGTCCCCAGTCGTCGGCCGCAAAATCGGTTTCAGTGAGAAGAATTATTTTTTGTAACTATGCAACCCAAAGTACGGATGCACGGCAGGTAGCGACCCAAGAGAGGAGAGATTATGGTCACTGTAGGGAGTCCGTCATAAAATGGAAATCGGTAAACAACACCAGATAAGCTTATTTATTTTGGAATGAAGGGTACAGGGAAATAACCATCGAAATCCATTTCTATCTATTTTGAGAGAAATTGAGTTGAAAGTTTAAAATGCGGAAAATAGATTGAGAAACCCACAAGGTTCAGTCTAACACAACTTTTTATTTTCTTTATAATGTTTTAAAAAGATATAAAATAAACTGTTTATGTTCAAATATAACAGCAAGAAAAATTGGTGGAAAGTTGTTTCGACAGAACTTCCCTCGCCCCTAAAATACAATGAAACATATCCAGCATTTTCGAGTTAAATTTTTACTTTAGGTACACAATTTTGTGATGAAATCATCAACATTTTGCAACGACACGTAAATCAATGTGGATTAGACTAAAAATAACAGTATTCCAAAAATTTATGGGAAAATGGAGTGAGTCGAGACTGATTTAATCAATAGAATAAATTGACTCATTCATTAATTTTTTGAGCCATCTAGGTATATAAGCAAATCTAAAAAAATATGAATGCAATGATAAATTACAATTACAAACTCATCATAAATTTTGCACATTTTTAGTAGAATTTATTCAGCAAAATTTTGAGATGATGTTATCAATTTTTTAGTAGCATAATCCTCAGATAATTATTGAGATTTTTCGACTTTTCGGTTTTTCGATTTTTCAACTTTTGATGTTTCAATTTTTCAGTATTTTAATTTTTGACATTTTCAATTTTTCCATTCTTCAAATTTTCGATTTCTCCATTTTCTTATTTTTCGATTTCTCAATTGTCCGATGTTTCACTGATACGATTTCGCAATTTTTCAACTTTTCGATATTTTAATTTTTCAATTTTTAAAATTCTAGATTTTTCGATTTCTCCAGTTTTTAGTTCTTCTATGCATATTTCAGTTTTTCAATTTTCGGAATTCATTATATTTCTGATTTTCCATTTTTTTTTAATTTTTCGATTTTCCAGTTTTTCGATGTTTCGAGTTTTCAATTATACGATTGTTCAATTTCTCGATTTCTAAATTTTAGATTTTCCGATTTTAATTTTTTTTTATTTTTTCATGTTTGGACTATTTGTTATTGCTAAAAATAAAAGTAAAAAATAACTACCAAAATTGTGACTAAAAATTAATAGAAAATAGAACACATTGCTGCTAAAACATAAAAATTAACTGTACTTTCCCAAAAAAATCCATTGCTTGATTACTGTTCCACTAGTATTGCTAATTTAGGACGTTAGTATCAAACGCAGTGAAAGTATTAATTCTTAGTTAAACAAAAAAAATAGTTGAGTGTCAAAGTCGAGTGAAACATGTGAGACGTGTGCAAACAAAAGCATCTAAATAATAACTATTTCCCGCAGAATTTCTGGAGGCTTATAGAGTCGACATTGGCCTGAGCGCGCTCCGGTCTCTGGATCATACAAGTTCTCGGGCGACGATGTATCTAATAACGAGGCAGTTGAAATACCTGATATGTCACAGCGCAAAAAGTATTTCTCAAAAAACTTTCAAACCTTGATGTCTTTTTAATCGAACAAAACACAATTTGCGAGCGCAATAATTCAGAATGGTGCGCAGAAAAATCCTTTAGACTAATCGAACGTTATTTTGGTAAAATTTGCAAAATGAGAGAACAAGTAACACGGCTAATCCTACTGTACTGTGAAAAACATTTTACATCCCTGCAAATCTAGTTCAGCATGTACTCTCCCAAAATCTTTGCATAGAAAATGAAGCAAGAGCAACTGAAGCATTTTGCAGTAACACCAAACTGACAGTAAGACAATGCGGTTTGTACATTTTTAGCGGCATCGCCAGACGGCTTCATAAACAAAAACGCTATCTTAGAAATATATAAAATGTCCAATTTAAATAATGCTTAATTCAACGGGATGATAAATTTTGGGAAAATAATATGATAGAGCGAAATAGATAGAGAGAAAAATTTTATTTTATGCCTTACTTCTGGAGAGAGTAGATTCTCGTTATTAAACAAATCAACCCATTAGACAAATTGTAAAGAAGATTGTACAATTAAAATTTTTTATTTGCATTCGCGTCATGTGTAGTTCATATAAATATTTTCCCTTTCTACTATAAACACGCACAGGAATAAATAGTAATATTGGAATAGGTTTACTGGAGATATCACGTAAAAAACGTGCCTATAATACTCTACCTCATAGGTGGTGCGGAAAAGAGTATCAAAAAATTAAATTTAAATAAATATGATTGTTCAGGTAAATAAGTGGTTAGTGAAGTGATGAGAATCTAAATCTTGCCAGTTTTGTGTATTGATTTATATATAGAATGACAGATTAGTAAAAACTACTGGAATAATTTTTTGTAAGAAAATGTTTTAGTAGAATGTATAAAATTATAAAAATTTGCATACTTTTAATTCAAATTATGTTAGCAATGAAAGAAGTCGACTTGTAAAAGAGTTTCAACAATGTTCGTAAGCTAAAAGTATTTATAAGTTTTATGACCAGTAAGCGGAAATTTATCTTACGGATGCAATTCCCCAGTTGAAGCAAGGTGTGTTTTACGGCGAGTAGCGACCACAGATTTGTGATCTTGAAATGTTATATTATGTTGATATAGTCCAAAATAAAAATATATTTGTAATCAAAGTATCGCCGCGACAGCACTGGATCTAGCGTATGAAACACAATTCCGCCCGTTGTTTATGACGGTTTATGAAAGTACCTGGACGGATTACCTGAAAGGGTCGGTCGGCAAAGCTCCCTGCTGTGTCAAACTCAACCATTTATGGAAACGAATCCTTTGTAAATAGAGTTGCCTAGTTTCAATTTGATTTCATTAGTCAGTATTTTTTTAAAACGCAAATATTTTGATAAATATCAATTTTAAACAAAAATGACCGGGTCTTCCCCATAGAGCTCAATGTTGTCTTTGCACTGATATAAAAGCTGAAGCGAAAAATGCTTTCTCCTCGTCTAAAAATGCAAATTCCTTCGAAGAATGAACGATTAATTAAACACTAAACAATCACTTATTTTAAAAAATATTGTGTGTTCCCCAGAGATTTAGACATAATCTATCAATTGAAATGTCGATCTTTTTTTCAATGTTGAAATTACGGCCGTAAAATAAAAATCTATTTAGCTCATTTTTCGGTCTGCTACTGGGGACCCTTAAACGGTCTTCCCAATTTTTGTTACTTTATTTGCAATTTACTATTTTTCGTACCTAGACTAACAAACTTGCGACGGACCTCGTACAAGATGTACGTATGTATGTAGCTTCGTATTTGGTAAATTGTAAACTTTATTGTACTACGACAGTGAAGAGAATTTTCTAGCGAATTACTGAAATTAATACGTTTTGAATTGCCACTGTTCATTATTCTTGGCACTCGAGCGAAATTATCCTATACCTGACTGTATTTATTGTGTTGATGATCATTAAATTATTCTATTTTTTATTTGATAAAACAGTTTTTGGCGCTAGACTCATAATCTAATAAAACTTTACCTTCAAAATTATCAATACAAATCATATATAGACACCTGACTCTCTTCATATATTCAGATTTCAAAGTAGTAATAAGTCTATGGAAGTAAAACACGATTTATTATAAAATAAATTTATTAAACAAAATTACCAGAGTTAAGAAGATTCTGGAAGAGATGCTTCCTTAGCTTTATGGAACGCAGCAATAAGACCAGTTAGTTGTGTATTTTCATACGATCCATTAACTAAGCGATACTCAATTTCGGCCATATGATGTAATAATGACACCATTATGTCAAAAGGAAACTCAACTAAAACAGAGATTTTGAAATATGACAGATAAAAAGGAATATACCTACTTACTTCTATGAACATATCTGTGTATTTCAGTAATTATGTCATTCAAAGCCAAGCCTTTAATCATTTTCAATTCCCTCACATCTAGAAACAAAATTTATAAATGACACACGGCCACACAAAAGAAGAAACAAATGCAAAATTGTAAAATCGCATGCTACACAAGGTTCTTTGCAATTTCAAATTATATATTTACAAGTTGGTAAGTTTATTTTTGTCTTTGCATGTAAAAAAGTTATAAGGGTATGTAGACAGAACTTCCCTCACCGCTAAGTACAGTACAGTAGTCCCAGAGAAACTTCCTTTTACGCCTTCATCGCATTATGGAGACGTTTCCTACAATAGACCGATTTTATCCATACCGATACCAAAGGATATAAAGACGAATGAAAAAGAACCGACACTTGTGTCGGTGCCTTTGATGTTTTGTTTGTCAATTTTGTTGAGGTGCTTTTTGATGCGAGAATTTTGAAAGCTGGGTGTTATGAAAGGATGAATGTTGATGTACTGACAAATAATTTGTCTGTCAGCAAAGCACACACATGAACATTTCATAAATATATAGGTATATTTCTTTTATGTTTATATAGTTTGGTTCCTATTCCACTCAAGGTTTTTAGGAAATAAAAAAAATATGTTCCCAACTTTTCGCGTTAAACAAGGTTTCACAGTACAGGAGTAACCTGCTTTTCTTTTTATCGGTGGCTCCATTTTCTAATGATTAAATTACCATGTGTATATTTACCAACCTAACCTCCAAAGCCAACAAATGTTACAAGACTAAAATGTGTATGAAAAATACCGCGTGATTAGAAATGACTGAGTGCATTGGCAGTACTTTTTAAACAAAAATCTGAACTTTTCTTGCGTTGAAGTTGGCATAATGGAAGTAATTGTGTGACAGAAATGTCAATCGTGACAGCTGACAACCAGAAGTTATACAAAATATCATGATACTAATTTCAACCAAAAATCCAGGATTGCCAACAGACGCAGTCACTTCTGATCAACGCGATATGTGACAACGAACGTCCTTAACTTACGCCCAGGAAGTAAAAATCATTATGGATTCATAAACCACAGGTGTCGGAGCATGTGATTTTACAAAATTTAAGTAACTTTTACTATGTAACAGTGAGGTAACGTCATCACTCATCACATTTTGGTTAACGTTTTACCATATACATAATATTTAGGGTCCGGATTTTTGCGAAATGTCCGGAATTTTAAACCCTGGCCAATTATTATTATTATTATTTCGTATTTTTATTTTATATCAGAAACCATACATCGAGATTCAGCGCACCGATTAATTTTAAAGAAAAATTCATCCCTATTTAATGAAAAATTACTTAAAAAAAAAAATAGTTCATTTTTGTTAATATTCTTTTTTCAGGGCTCCCGCTTTCTCGCTGTAAGCGTCAAGCACAGTGTTAGTTTGCCTCGAGTTCAATCCAGGTACAACAGAGGGCGGCACTCATACATCACTCTGTATATTGTAGATTGTACGTAAGAGTACAAAATCATGTCTATCTAGTCCAATGTAGTGATGTTATTTAGATGTTTAGAATTATTTATTTTATTTTCCTGTTGAAGACCTTTTTATTTTCGTATATATGTAATTATTTGAAAAAAAAAGTTGTGTACTTTCAAGTATTTTATTTCACTAAATAAATAATAGTTTAAAAAACTAAAAAAACACGCTTTTATTGCTAATCGAACTAAAAACTAGAAAATAATTTTTAATAACAGAGTTTAATATTACAGTAGTAGAAGATCAAACAATCAATCATAATAAATCACCTCAAATTAAAATTATAATAAAATTTAAGTTATTAACAGAATAATTCAATTCAGAGTAAAAAGCGTGGGGTGCATTTTACTGCGGTTCATAACTATCCTCTCATAGATAGTTGCCAATAGAATGATTGTAATATTTAAAATATCAAGTTCCAAATGAGTTTTCCCTTAACAAAAGTTTGTGATCACGTTATCAACATTTTTGCAAAGAAATGTACATATATCACTTTGGATAGGTGCAGTGTAATACTAATGATAGCAATATTGTATTCCCAAATTTTCGGGAAAACAGAGTGAGCCGTTCCTGATTTAATCAATAAAATAAATTGACTCATTTTGAAAGACTCACTCTGTATAAAAAATTTAAAAACTTATTTAATGTAATCAATTAATCATAAATCACAAGTATAGACTCATTATATTTTGCACATTTTGGATAGGATTTATTCGGCAAAATTTTGAGAGACGTCATCAATTTTTTGGGAGGAGATAAACGAATAAATTTTGCTTAACGATTTACCATGATTAGGATAACCTTAAAATATTTACAAGATTTCAGAGTAATTGGTTTTGCAGTTTCAAATTTATATTGCAAAATATTGTTATTCAGTTTTGAATTTTTTCCAAAAATTCTGGATGTCTAGGGTGAAAATTCGACACGGATTCACACACCACAATTGCAGGAGTATCTTATTTTGTAGAATTAAAAAAAACTTTTTATTATAAATTTTGGAGATGTCGTCATCCCATTGATGGTGGGGATGATTATCCAAATTTTAATCGGTGTTTAACCATCTACATGATATTCTTAATATACATACGAAATGTGAAAACAATCGGTCCAGGGCCAAGTGCAGTACCGCAGGTCGTCGTTTTCTCCGATAGACCCATTTTATACCTTGCAAATGTTTTTCCGAAAATTTGAACGTTTCGCGAAAAAACTGAAAGCGGATTAGTACACTACAAGTATAGGAGTATATTTTTGTGTAACATTCAAATCGTTTTAAGATATGGTTCATTGAAATGACGGGACCAATTTGTAGGTGGGGATAAATAGCCAAATTTTGGTTAGCATTTAACAATCTACATGATATTTCTAATTTACATACAAAATGTAACAACAATCGGTCCAGCAGTTTCGGAGATTACGTGTTTAATAAAAATGGATACAAACACCAGACAGACAGACGGAAACGGGAGAGTGCTTTTTTCGTACTGTAGGGGTCATGAAATGTTGAGAAAACATAAACGTGACCATTCGTCCGATGGACTCGATTACAATACTTCCTTCGGTTACGCTCGAGAAGTAACGAGAGATGAATTGTTAAACTAAAGATAGAATCCATATCACACTCCCCATTCTCAAATTTTGATAAGCATTCTACCATCTCTACGATAACTTATAACCATTACGTACTTAGGTATAGTCATGCTCACATAAATCTAGTACAGCAGATGACAATCTGAATTTGTATCCATACTATTGATTTTGTACTGACTTTGACACAACGTAAAAGTGAGGTTGTACGGGATTTATATGAGAGTAACTGTACACATAATAATTGTATAATTAACTATACTTTTAAAATTTCAAATTAACGAGAAGTAGTTTACGTTTTGAAATATTTAACCGATAAGTCGCCCTTATAAACACCACTACTGCAATTGCATAAAAATTCAAAGTCAAACAACTCAAGATACCAGTGTCATTGTGACTTATACTATACCCATAACTTATTATTGTCTACAGTTAAAAACGAAAAAGCCTATACATAAATTTTCTTAATTATCAACCTGAACTACTTACTTTTATAACATGTGCGAAAATCTTCGCTAAGCAACCACTTTACGATGCTTTCAATATCGTTTTTTAAAGGATGTCCTACACATGTGTACACATTTTCTTCTGTTACTTCATTGTAAGCTAACCATGTGCTTTGCAATACATTAAGGACCTTCCTCATATCGCCATTTCCTAAGGTAAGAAGTGCTTGCTTACCATCATCAGTCACTTTGACACTTTAAAATAAATATACAAAAAAATTAAAATAACCAAGTATGGAATCTAATTTACTTTTCTTCGTCTATAACGTAATTTAGACGAGGTAGAATCTGCTCAGGTGTTAAAGGTCCGAATCTAAATCTTGTACAGCGTGACTGTAGTGCAGGTATGATTTTGCTAAGATAGTTACAAATTATGCAGAACCTCACATTTTCCGTGTATTTTTCAATAACTAAAACATAAAATGAAAACATATGAGTTAACATAATACATTACAACTATTAAAATGATGAAAACAATAACGATACAATAGTGCTTTGGATGTTTTATTTAAAGTTTGTATGTATAAAGTGGAAGATTTATTGCACACAACACACTGAAGAAGTTGATGCAGCAACTCCTGATGGCCGATTCTGTCCAGCTGATGCTGGAATTAATTCGACTTTTACAATGGATTCTTGATGTTCTTTTTCAATTCGTGTCAAGGGAATTTTAAAATGTTTTGCGATCAAATCCATTAGACTGGAATTAACCTAAAATTATAAAGTTATAATATTTTTTTAATTGAGAAAAATACTCACAGCCTCTCCTGTTTTTGCCGATAACAGAAAGTTATATAGCCTATAATCTTGAAGAAAGTGTTTTGTTTTATCTAATCGAACAGCTCTTTGATGTTCAAGATCACCTGAAAAATATAATCATAATAAACCTCCTGTGTTGGTTGGGCCAACTGCCTCGCATTACATTTATTTCCAATGATTGCACAAATAGGGGGATTGTCAATAATACGTTTGATAGCGTCTATCCATAGAGGTAAGCAATCAAAACTTACTGAGTTGGTTATATCGTATACCAAAATAATCAACTAAAAATTTTGTATTATTGATAGTAATTGTAATAAGTACTACAACATAAAAAATCCATACGTTTGAGTTGAACAAATAATTCGCTAGCATATGTCCATGAAATTCAAATCCACCAACATCAGTTATTCTTACAGTGACCTCATGGCGTCCGGGTAAAACAAGTCGTCTAATATAAAAATCAGCGCCGATGGTCTGATTATATTGTCTTGTAAATTCATCATAACAAAATCTTCTTATAATACTTGTCTGCAATGTGAATAAATATTATTTAATGAATGGACCACACAGAATTTCAAACACATGATAATTATACATACCTTTCCAACACTAGATTCGCCCAGGAAAACAATTTTCAATTGTTTCCCAACATTTTCATCTTCTGAATCCGACATTTTACATTTCAAATATTCATTTCATAAAAAAATAAATTTTATTAAATCACGTCACCTCTGAAAAGACGAATAATTACCATAATAAAACCACAATCTTTTGAGTGCTCCTTAAAATTCGTGCGGTATTTCTAACAAAAGCTACACATATGTACGTGAAGAGCAATATTCAAATGCAACTCAAAAGTATAAAAGCACAGACTCTTCTCACTAAAATCAGTTCAACCAAAACCACCACAATGTCTAAACTTGCAACTTTAATAATTTTATTGGCTTTAAGTGAGTCCATCGTTTCCGGTTGCCTAATTACAAACTGTCCCAGAGGGGGCAAAAGAAGTAAACTTGCTTTGAGTGAAAATACCATTAAATCAGTAAGTAAAATTTTCTTTTTTCAATAAAAATGATAAATGTTTTAAAAGAAGTAACTCATGACTCGGTTTCACCACTGTTGATGAGTAACATGTACGATTATTTTAACAACATATGTACGCCGATTTTTACACAATAACATTAACAGCTTACAGAATCCGGATTGGGACTACTTCGATTAACACAATTTTAATTTTTTTTTTGTGGCAGTGCCTAAATTGTGGCCCTGGACAAACTGGACAATGTTTCGGTCCCAACATTTGCTGTGGACCTTTTGGATGTCTCTTGGGAACGCCAGAAACTCTTCGTTGTCAAAGAGATGGATTTTTCCATGAGCGTGAACCGTGTATAGCAGGCACTTCTCCGTGCAGAAAAAATACAGGACGTTGTGCTTTTGACGGGATTTGTTGCAGTCAAGGTAAATGCTTGAATTACGTATAAAACCGACACGAAATGATTTTTTCCTATTTATTAAAAAACAAAATAGATTCCTGCCACAGTGATAAAGCATGTGCTAGCGAAGAAAAATCAAGATCTTTTTCCGAGGTTCCTCTAGACTTGTACAACCTAATCAACTATCAAGCTGAACTTGTTAATGATAAATAAATCAATACAAGCTTTACACGCTGTTATGCATCATTCTAAACTTGGGCGGTGCATTGTAGTTAAGTAAATATTAGTATAGATGTAAGAAATTGTCAATAAAACAAGATTTAAATGGAGTGCTATTTCATAATTACCAAATCCCACAATATACGACTGTCTTTTAAAAAAATTGCACCTCCAACACATTCCCAATAATAAAATGACTGAAGGCTGCCTATGGCAACTTCAATACAAACACTCATATAACCCTACTCACTTCTTCTTAATGCGTTTTGAGCATCCATAGTCATGGCATCTGCTTCATCTAGAATAATAAGCTTAAAGCCAGACTTAAAAATTGTTCTGGTGCTTGCAAATGTTAGTATTTGCCCTCTTACGACTCCTATGCCCCGGTCATCAGATGCATTCAGTTCTAATACCTACGGTAATAATTAAAATATACCGATAATATTAATAACACAAATTTTGTTGTTTACCATAGAGGAAAATTGTGTTGGTGTACCATAAAGTTGTCTTGCGCAAGCTAGAATGGTACTCGTTTTTCCTGTTCCCGGTGGCCCATAAAAAAGTAAATGAGGAACTTGATCATCTTTAATAAATTTGTTTACTACAATAATTTCATTATTCAAAGATATATAAGTTATTTACAACACATTACTTGTTTTTATAATTTCTTCATGTGATACAAGATCGTCTAAATGAGTAGGGCGGTATTTTTCTACCCTATGAATGAAACGTAGAATATTATAGGCATACTGTATTTACTAAAACGCTACTCACCATGGCAAATTTATTTTGGTGCCACTCTTCATTGTTAGAAAGATTGTTTTTCCACTGAAATAAATTATAAGTGTATACATAAAACATTGAAACAAAAAATATTAATGATATCACGTTATCAATAAATTTGTAAACGTTATCGCATTCTTGAAAAGAAAAGGTAAGGGTTACAGACGTAAAACTCTTCATCAACAAATACTATTAATTTAAATAATTGTACTGTAAATGTATATGCTAAATAAAACGTTTTTGTAAATTATTGTTTACTTACGTGCGTAAAAGTAAGAACTACCTATAGTATATTATATAACAAGTGCCGAAAATAGGATAGTTCAACTGGCACACTCATTTGAAATATCCTTTTTGCACTCATGACCTTTTTTGATAGCTTTCGCGCATTCACCAGGGTGCGGGAGTTCGAACTTCCCGCACACGTGCATTTAACTTCCCTTTGCCATGGTAACCTTAAAATACTCGGGTAGTGTCAACATTGTGACGTGTTGACGGCGCTGTCAATGGCGTTGTTTATAAATAACTCACAGTTAATCTCTTCAGTTTAAAGGTTTATTCGTCGCAAAAAATATTGTACACAACACGTTCGTGAGCCTGCTTCCCGCATTCACGCAAATGCGTCACTCCCTTCGGTCGTGCCGCAAACAAGCGTTCATGCGGGAAGCAGGCTATCCCGAACTAGTTGTGTAAATTACTATTCTGCACGTGTTGGACACTATACTTTTCCTACGCCTACCCTCCGTCATTCAAAATTTTTAAATATACATATTTTCCTCTTCCGAATCACTCATAATAAAATTTTGCACTCGATACTTTTGGAGTTAATTTTAATTTGCATTTATGTATCAACAACACATACAAGTAATGTTATGGCGACAAAACAAAAAGCCAACGCCATCGGCTACACAGTTAATTCATCATCATAACAGACATGCACTTTTATTAATTTTTTGTACGACCATTGCTTTTTCGATCATTTACCGTACAGGTTTCCATAGCAGTAAGTTCAGTTTACGGGTTGCTACGACTAACAACTAAAGAGGCGAACGGTAAGTAAATTACTTACTGTTCAGCTGAACGGTAAGTAATCATGCATTCAAGATTTTTTTAATTTTAAATTCCATGCGTGTTCGACTTGGACATTTTCGCTTTCAGAATCACTCATGATTGATATTTTAAGCAAATAAATCACTCACTAATAGTCGCGGAAAGAAAATTAACTCGAAATCAAGCCAGATCAAATCTAAATCGACAGCGGTCAAAATGGAAACTGATTTTTAAAATTGTTGTTTATATTAATCGAAACCATAGTAACAAATTTTAAATTAAAAAACGACCTTGTTGATGTTTGATATACATTTTTTCAATTTATGAATTTGATAAAAAGACGCAAATCTTTTGATGGTCGTACAAAAAATGGTATAAGCATCACGAACGTTAAGGGGGTTTACTGGTCTCAGGGTCGGTTTATCAATGCTCAGTTAAAAGTAAATATCTGTTAAGTAACTGTCAGATAAGTATAACTAGCAGTTAACGGAGGTAAATTGTTTATCAATGCATGATGTTTCTTCCAGTTTTGTAGGTCGAGGTTTAGCTGTTACTCTCTTAAGTTGGTAACGCTCACCCCACTGGAAATGAGTTGTGATTGGTCAGTTCAAAACTACCCCCAACTTTAGAGTTCCATCAGATTTGATCCGCATTCGGTATTCAACGACTGTATATCGCGTTTCACGTGATAAATCATGAAAAAGCAAAATTTAGCTTTAGAAAAACAGTATTGAAAATTAAAAATGAAACAAGTAGGTACATAAATAAAGAAATACAGAGAGATCGAAAAAGAAATTAGTCAAAGTTGGCCATGCACGAAAAGCCGTTTGTCTTAGTTTAAAATAATTTTTTATTAAACGTCACGTTCACAAAAGTAATTTGCACTGTTATCAAACGAAATTAAAGCTTTTTTGGTATTAGAATCTTACTTCAGAAATGGGATAAATTTTGGACAAAATTGGAAAACGGTGATTTTGATTCATTTTTATGTATTTTAAAAGTAGGTGTCATAATTCTAATTTTAAACTGTCAATTTGACATTTAATAAAAAAATTTAAATTACGACAAACGGCTTGTCGTGCATGGAGCATGGCCAACTTCGATTAATTTCTTTTTCGATCTCGCGGTATTATTAGATAGGTTTTTCATTTTTGGTACCTACATTAGACCTGGAAAATAATCGGCTAATAATAAGTTTTTTTCTCATCTTCTCTGTCAATTTGTTCCACAACATAGTCCTCATCAAAATATTGTTAAATTAATAACATATTTATTTGGATTTGTTAGGTTATGTTGCCACTAACATGGATACCGCTTTAACTGACAGTTTGAACTGTCAGTTAATTTATCAGGCACTCTGACCACCAGTTCTGAGCTAGCGGGCAATGATAAACAGGTTAACTAACAGACAAGCTTTAACTGCCAGTTACTTTAACCATGGCCGACTAGTATAAAGATTATGGCCTGTCCAAAGGAATGCCAAAGGTACCATACGTGCTGCCATCTATTAATAATTCAAAAACGACAAAAGAATTATTAACACTTTTTGAAAGGCACAAAGGCATTCATACCGAAACAAACCACCATTACACGTTTTGAAGTCCCATAATGTCAAGTCAAATTAAAATTTTGCTAAATTATTAAGTGTAATTATTAATAGATGGCAACACGTATCGTACCTCTTGGACAGGCCATAATCTTTATACTAGTCGGCCATGCTTTAACTTAACTGCGCATTGATAAACCGGCCCTCAGACAAATTGGACACGTCGCTTCGCTCCGTCTCCAAACTTTTGCCTTCGACCAGTAAACACCCCTTACCGTTCTTAATACTTAATATACTATTACGCGCTTGTCTCTAAAAACGTGCCATTTCGAAATTAAAATGACAATCAAAATGTCCACCTTAGATAAGTTGGTAGCGATTGTAAAAAAAAAACAATTTTTGGATTGCAACTCTGTGGTTAAAAATGAATGTTTGTTTGTCCCGTAAGCGTTCGTAAGCCATTCATCCGACTGCCCTGAAATTTTGGTGAGTTGTTCACATGGCACATGCCAGCCAAGGTTTTTGAATTAGTACAATCATTTTATGATGATTAGTTAGTGTGTTTTAAAAACTTCAACAACCAGAATTAAAACACAAGCGCTTTCTTTGAGTACAATTGCAACTAATTATTAAATTGTTAACGAATATTTAACTGTGTAATATGCCAGGCAAGACATTAAAAACAGATCCGAGTTACGACTTTGAAATTTAATGTTTCTGAAAGCAATTTTCGTAGAAAGCCACTGTGACTAAAAGTAAATAATAACCATACTTGTTGCAGATATTAAAAAAAAATAAGCGGGAAAAATTCTGTAACTATTACACTTGTTCCAGTGCTGCAATTGAGAAGCAAACGTACAGTGTAAATTTGTGAAAAAATGTTAAGCAAAACCACTGCACTTCACATAAACTGCAGGATATAATATCTTCGTGCCGAATGCACACAAACCACAACAAATAAACTTAACCTCAAAAAGAGGGGGTAGTTGAAATTATGAAAAGAAAACGTACCTCTATATTCCTTCTCAACACTTTCAGAAAACCAAATTCAGGGACTAAACTATTAAACAGAAATACGTATCTCTGCAAGTGCTAAGCTGTTTAAACTCTAACGGCAACAGCATGTCACGAACAACACAACCATAGAACAAGCAGGCGACGGAACAAACCAAGAACACAACCATAGAACATAACCAGAGAACCACAACACAGTAGATCAGTAACGAAACTTCAGCAATATTTGCGGAACGGGTGTGACCTTGGGAGCCCGTTCCCGGGAAACACGAAGATTCAAATATTTCGTAGCATTCGTATGTGATTCATATAATACTAATAATTGTACACAAAAATAAAAATGGTTGGCATGTACTAGTGACATTGGCCATCTTTTTCTTTCTTATAAATTATTAATATATTCAAGCAAAACATTTTTATTCAATTTTGACGTTTTAAACTGCGTTTATTAAATCTTTAACAAGTCTGAGAAATAAGTTGTTATCCACAAGTGAATTGCAAAATTTTTAATTCACTCTTAATATTTTTTAATCACTGACAAAAAAATAAAAAACAACTTCAGGAACATAAACATTTTGCTTATTATTTTTAATAGTTTTCACAGAATACAATTTGTTTACAATTTTCACTAAAAGGTTGCTGCAACTAAATTAGTATTGTTTGACATATTTGTTTGGCTCTGTGAGGCGTCAATTTGGGAATTGTATAAATCCCACACCAATAGAATTCCAAAGAACGTTTCGGAAACTATTTACTACAGATTATTTCGATACAAGTGCAAGAACCAACTGTGAAACACTATTTTATTTGAAATGAAAAATTTGCTAAGGTGTTCTTTTAAACAAACTTCCACAACACATCTTCCCTGTATTCCGGCCTCTTCAACAATCATTAAGTGATGTGAGTTACCAGAAACTCACCTTGAAAGAACACAACTGTTTATGGTATGTTTGTGGATACTCATTAATACGAAAATTCTTACACCACCACTTCTGCGAAGTTTGTGTGAACTTTGCACATTCTTACGAAGTGGTACATCCTGTTTTAATTGTGTGACATTTTAAAGTCTTCAATGAAGATGTGATTTTTGGCGATTTAGTGATGCCACCTAAACATTTTGCAGTTTATACTCCGGTAATGGGTAATACATTTTGTGAGTTTTTCCCACTTTATGCACCGTAGTCGTTAACTGGTTTGCGGCTAAAAAACAAACCATACAAAAATACCATTCCACCACCCCTGCAAAGACTTTCCTCTTGATTACCTCGTTTCAGTTTTTATTAGACTTAGAATTTTTTACACACTAAAATTTAAAAATAAATCTTGGACCGCTCAAACACGCACACATCGAAAATTAAACTATTTCGTTTAACCTGCAGTTTGTTGACCTCTTTAGCCTGTAATTTTCTAGTATTTTTTACATGTATCGTAAGTATTTATTACTTTGTTAAAATAAATTTTACGTTTGTTTTTAACCCCATAACCCAACATTCCGTATGATTCCGTAATTAATATGACATTTCTTGTTGACAAAACCAGACAAAACGTTCACCGAAAACCTTAAAATGAAAAAGAAACTATGTTCTTCAAGGTCGGAGCACCTTTAGAACGCTAGTGACCTCTTTATGTCGTTCCGTAAGCTCCCCATGTATTTCTTATGGAATCAGCTGAGACTTTCATAGCCCTGCCACAACACACAACACAGGACCATAGCACAGCACAGACCAGAACACCAGAAACCACAGAACAGCCAGAAACCAGATAAATTTAGGTGAGTTTTTTTGCCACCGAGTAGTTCTACGTTCATCACTGGTTCTACCACTAAATTTGGGTAATAAAACGACGAGTATTGTGATAACCCAAGCTTCCCGCCTTAAAATTTGACCTTGAAACAGTTTGAAAGGCCCGCGAAAAATTCAAAAATTCAAAGTTTGGCCTTGGCTGTGATCGTCTAACAAATGAGAACCTACGTTGTGTGTTTTTTTTTTTTTGTGGTTTTGAAAAATGGCGGGAAGACGTTCTTTCATACAAGTGCATACACGGTCGAGAGCGCCAGAAATAATAGACAAGATTAGGTTGGTCAAAAGCCTTCCTAAGGGGGAAAAAGAAACGAAGAACGACAACAGAGGCTCGATTTGCCCTTCTGGCGAGTCCGCAGGGCCAAGGTGTCATCGGTCTTCATTCCCCAAAACCCCCTGGGGTTTTATTCACCGACGTATTACATGTCAAACACCCTAAGATATGTGAACGAAAACACTCGCGAATTGACAGACATACACATATGAAAACCGAACAAACACAAGACCTACACATATGTAAATTGGATGGCAGAACCCGAATCATTATGAGAGTGTGGCGATCGAACAAAATATAGAACAAAATATATCAATTTCATTTACGAGCACAGCAAAATACCCAGAGGGGGCGTTGTAGCGCAAGTAGAGGTTGGGACTCCTGATCGTCACTGTTCTCCCCCACGACGGTGATTCTATCTACACCAAAGCCTGCTCACACGCACATCTCCATTACGAACGTGCCCTGCGAAACGAGGCGGTTACGATCGCAGATCCGTAGTGGGGTCCCGGCTATCACGAAACCGGCAGCGTTAAAAACCCGCGATCGCCCCCTGAAGCTATACAAAAACCCGCGGACTTGTGCAGGTGACGCGATTGATCCCGTCAGTTTGAGAAGGAGTCGCGCGCCCCACGTACACTACGAGTTATGTGTTATTTACCTTCAATTCCATTTAAATGTTCAAACTCTATGACTCTAATATTAAATGACAACCGAACAAGTGTTAAAGTTTCAACAAAGAGCAATACACAACACTTAAATTCGCCACACACTCTTACGAAAATTCAACAACAAATAATTCTTAATTGAGATTAAATTTGGACATCAGATAATTTACATGATAGAAACATTTATCAACACAACATTTACAAGATCAAAACTTAGCAAAGATTTATAAAAACAAGATCTGGTGTGAAATAAGCTTGTACAAATTAAATATCATGTTAGGTCAAAACTGCAGAGCATGGAAATTTACGTTCAATTCAAATTATACAGCAAAGAAAATTACTGAAGCTAAAATTGTGAGACAAAGACAAATTGCATGAGGTGAAAGATTGTAAAGTTAACGGATTTACATGTGATTAATATTAATTCGTGTCCAGTCAAGTTATTGGTTAAAATTCAAACGTGAAATTATTTAGCTGCATTGTGGGCCATTATTACACATACATTTCCCCACACAAAACACATAAACAAACATGGCAGACAATCTGCAGTTGCAAAATGGCGTTGGACGAATTCGTCATTCCAAATAATAGGCGTCGAAAATATGCGATGCAAAAATACGATGAATCCTGTGGCGTTGTATAAACGATGTGCTAAATCCAAAGAATAAAGGCACGTCCCCCCATGACCCACAATGTTGTTACTTTGTTCAATAGATTCAGTTAAACCATGTGCTCGATTAAAAGAAACAAATGGACGCTTCAAAATGGCCGCTGCCTGAACAAAGAACGGTGAGAATAACAACTCGTTTGCCGCCATCCAAAATACAGATTTCACAAATATAGCTAAATAAAGCATGGCCCGAACTAGAAATCACTTCCTGTAAAGCCCTACTGCGACGGATTTTAAATGAAAGATAAAAAAAACGAGATTAGTGGAAAAAAGCGCACGCGTCGCTGTGTCACGAGGTCAGAAGTATCGTCGGGACTTGAAAACTCGCCGCGAAACAGGACCCAGTCCAAAACACGTGTTCAAAACATACCTCTCCAAAGATGCGAAGATTTCGACACGGCTTACCGCCAAAAGGAACACAAAAACCTCGTCGTAAGAACGATGAGAAATCAGGAACACCCAATGGCTCAACGGGGGCTGCTAGGTTTTCCAATGGAACGGATCAACACTGGAAACGCAAAAACAACAGCAAAAGGCACAGAATAACTCACAGATAAAAATACAACCTGTTGCTCGAAGCGCTCGAAGGAAGTCGACCGTTTGTTCCAAGCGGTCAAAGCGAAGTGACTCATTTTTCAAGACAATACCACCCTCGCTTTGCGCACGTCTGTTTCTTTGGGGTGGTTGGTTGCCAACCTCTCCTTCTTCTCACTAACCGTTTCTTGTGCGCGCGGAATTCGTTTGAAATTTAAAAATTCGAATTGGATCCTTACAGTATATTATATATTATATCAGAAAACTAGCATAGAAAAGAAAAAAACTAGTTATTTTTAAGAAGATTATTACTGTTGTATCAGCATAACTGTTTCGACTTTTTTTATTTTAATTTTTTGTCTGCTGTGTCACACACAGAACACTCAATAGAGTCTGTGCCACTGATATAGAGTCTGTGCCTGTGCTGTGGCCTGTGGCACGTCTGTGGTCACAGCATAGTAATTATATTATATGGAAGTAACTTAGAGAGAGACGCGCGTTGTCAACACAGTGGGACAGAGATAGGGCTCTCTGGGTGGCAAAACATTGACGCGAAACTGCAGAGTACTGTGTTTCTGGAGGTTTCTTTCGTGCTGTCGCGTGGTGTTTGAAGGTGTATTTTTGCAAATTTACGTTTTATAGGCTCAAGTTACCTTATTTAAATGGCTAGGGCCTTCTTAAGTTGTATTTTATCGGACTATTTGTTAAACATCGTGAAATCGTGTTGTGGGTATAATTGCATAGAACGTGCAAAGAAAGCAATCCCGTTTCATTTCATAGATAATAATCACATATACAGACGAAGGATTTCGTAAATAATTTAAACATTTTGTTAGACTCCCTAAACTTTCCGAGTTACGAAAAAAACGGATTATTGTTACAAAAAGAGGGAATTTTATATCAATGGATTATTGTTTTAACTATTTGTACGTGGATTTAGAAAATAGATTTTACTAGAAAATTCCACACAATTTAATGTTTAATTTAATTAGGCACCCTGTCACTTTTATCGAAAGTTTAATTACTTTTATCCTAAAAATTTCAGAATTACCAATGAACATACACTACAAGATTATTTAACTTGTAGAAGATTATTGTACTAACTGAATTCGTAATATATTGTGGATTCTGTATACATTTCATTTTATTAAAAGACTATCTCCACCACTTAACAAGATTTTTGTGGTTTCACATTACACATAATTTTAATGTAAACTGTAAAAATATAGTTTTCATTAACAGACGTTTGTTATAATTGATTGTTTGAACAAATTCGTAAGAAAACGTATTAATTCCCGTTCAAATGAAGCGTTTCTTGCCACTCAGCACGTGATACATGGTCAGCCGTCCTTTGTCCACTGATGCACAACCGCTCTAGCTATTTCTTTCTTAAGTTGATTACACTCGCTAGCGTATGGAAACGTATACAAGGCTCCATCCACTCCTTTATTAGATCAATGGGTCACAGTGATGTAACAGGCTGTGTTCCCGAGTGGAGTGTTTCCGCTAGTTTTGGCGGTTTCGCTTTAGTGTTTAATCAAACTACATTATTCACATGATTTTCCATTACACAATGTTTTCTCCTAACATTACCAAATATGACTGGCGACGGCATTTTCTATCTATACTTATTCAATATCGTTGGGTGGAATCACGTCTGTGGTATGTTCTCTGTCTGTGGTGACAAGTGACAGAGGCCACAAGGCGTACTTTTGGGTGTTTGATATGTTTCCGCTGTTTTGTTTTGGGCTCATGGTGGTTCCAGTATTCTGTCATTTCAGTGACTATTCGTAAACATACATCGTGTGTAGTGCAGGTAGTTGGCTAACTCTCTCCCGGTGTTCTGTTCTGTGTTAATTAGTAACTCTCGTTGGTATTGGTAGTATTATATGTATATAAGCAGTGAATCGCTGATATTACAAAGAAGTTACTGATTAAGACTTTCCGCTTTACGTGAATAGATGTACTAGTACAGAGTACTTGAAAAAAACAAAACGTTTTTTTTTAAATATGATTTACACATACCAAACATTATCGTATGCCGCATATTTGACAGTTAACATGTTTTTCCTACAGACAGTGTCAATGATGCAGAGCACTTCAGTGAGTAATTGTGTAAAAGTTAAGGCAACGCTGGAATTTGTATTATTTTAAGGTTGTATGGGTATGGATGTTGTTTCCGTCAACATGCCATGATTTAGTGAAATATCTATGTTGTTAAATATGAGAGCAGTTGGAAAGCAAAACATCATTTAGACAGTGTATCCCACATGCATTTTTGGATTGATAAACGCAGTCAAGGATGTGGGTTTAGCGGAAGACATCTGGTGCCTCCGTCACTCTCTGGTAATACGTTTATTATCTTCATATATTTTGTGCATGCTTTTTTTTATAAAAACATTTCTGTTAGGATACGGTCGTAGTCAGAGATTTTTGTGTGGCGGTTTTCATCCTAAACCGATGGTAACTCCAGTACATCGATTTCAGTCTATTGAGAGTGTAGCTAATGGTGGTTTGAGATATGCAAGATCCTCTGGTTTCCACGCTCGGAACCCTGTTCAGTGTCAGCCATCTGTGTATTACAAGTAAACTTGTGTCCTTGGCAAAATAAAGCAATAATATAGTTTCATAAATTGTTCTTTTAGTGGTGCAAATAGTAGTATTCGAAATAATTCGCAGATGGGCCGTACAGTGGAAATGATCAGTACAGGTCAGGTTCATTCGCCCACACCTCGTCGAAATGGTACTCCAACGGCAAAATTAAAATGTGGTGTTTGGGTCTTTTTTGCCATAGTAACTTTCTTTTTAGCTGGTGCCAAATATTACTTTCATGGGGTATGTTGGACCTTATTGAATAAATTACATTTCTATTGTTGGTTCAACAGGTTAACATAGGCATGGAGGCGTTTGCATTTTGTTCCCTTCTTGTTATAATTCTAATAATAGGAGGATTGGTTTCATTGTATGAAGCCATTACTGCAACAGCAAATACTCCACCAAGAGAGAATGTGACAGCTGCTCCCAGTATTGATCAACAAATGGAAGAAACTCACAACAATCAAGTGCCAAGCTCTCTCATACCGCCCGATTCTGCAGAATTGCCACCTCCTCCATACCACATTGCCATCATGTTGCCTTCACAAAATGGTACTGAAACTGTGCAAGTTATACAGGACTCCCCTCCGCCTTCGTATGAAAAAGCAGTCACTTAATTCACAGGAGACTCAAATTATTATTCTTTCATATATACATATATATCGGCTCTTTTTATAAATTTTATTAGTGTGAAGATTTTATGGGGAACTGATAAATATAATTTATCATGGCCCAATGCCAATATTTTTTGAAATTTTTCGTAACGAAATCAATTTATAAGCTGTACAGAGGCAGGGTGAATTTTTTGTAAAAAGTGTTATCTATCATTAAATGTTAAAAGATATAATTCACAAATTGTGATTTGACCATTTCTCGTACTTTTGGCATTGTTTCCAAAAACATTTAAATTTAAATACATGCTTTTACATTCCTTTAGAATCAAGTTAGTTTAATACCATACCATAAAGTAAAAAAGAAAAAACGTGCCTGAATTATTTTAAATCAGTAGCTTTGCAAACATTTCAAAATTTTAACGTTGAAAATGTATAGTGACGTAGAGTTAAAGTCGGGCAGCACTTTTTGTTGACTGTGGGTATTACTGTATTGTTTCATAAGGCTATTTATGGTACAAGTAAATAATGCTTAGCTTTATTGGACGCAAATACAATTAAAACGCATTATTTACTTTACATAGCTTTATGTTTGACTCAATAGAATTTTTTTGTTGCAACTTTCACATCCATTTTAAAATTCATAATAATATTTAGTAGACCGTTGCCACGGTCAAATGAATAATTGTGCTGCAGTCCAAATTTCTTAACAGTTCAATAATGTAGTGGATTATGGACAGTTGCAAGTGTCATAAATGACGTTGTTATGATTGCGTGAAACATAAAGAAAATTTCAAATCACTGTGGAAATAGTAAAGTATTAATAAAAGCCTGGTTTACCAAAATTGGTGAAACAGTCATGGGAATGGTAACTTGATTCCTGACTTTAAATTTCCGTCTCTGTACCTATGATTTTCTAAGGACAATCATTAACAATGGAAAATGTAAATTTTAACTCTTCCACGTGTATTTACTATATTCCATTAATTTGACAGTTTTCAAATTATTGTAAATTATTATATCCGGACGACTTAGATCAACTATATCACTATGCTGGTGATTACCGCATTTACCATTCTATAGCATTTTAGCACTGTTTTAATTAAATTATTTGTAATTGACGAAACCATAACAGATGAATGTCTGTTGTAACATTACTCAACACCACTTTTAAAATTAATCTGGTTAGCGTCTCAAAAATATGTTTTACACATAGACATACGCATTGTTAAAATTTCATTTCTCAAATTGAAAATTTCCTACAAATAAACGCTGAGATTAGCTTTAGAGTTTAATTTGCTTTTTCAGACTATTTTTCAATATCTATTTATGACTTGGAAGTTTTTCTTCAATTATTGTATATTTATTGCAAGTGTGGTGCGCTTCACACTTAACCTCTTGAATTCACCGCAGTTTGTGTACCTAAACAAAACACAAATCTAAATTTAGATATGAAGCTAACTTTAGGCATATGAACACGCCATGGACAGTGTTTGAAACAGTTACAGGAAAACATTTTTCATTATCGCTATGTTTGCTTATGTTAACATATTGGTGTTCTACATATTTATGTGCCTTGGCTGTATATTGGAAAATGCGGTCCATGTTTTGAGGTATACTTACTGCTACATTCAGTCCTGGTAACTTATTACATTCATATTTTGCAGGAATGATTAGGTACAAACATTTGTATTTTGTCATTAAATATGTTTATACCTTGTAATGGCGCTAGAGTGAATTTTAGACAGGCACAGTGGATCCTGAAATTTCCATTAAAATTTAAAACTAGCATCTCTGTTGGTAATTATTTTTCGTTAAAAGTACAAGTTATCACAACTAGTTGCAGTTGCCTGTTATCTAAAAATCTTTCATAATTTTTACAAGTTAAAACATTGTTCCCATATCCAAATAAATAATTTTGTTTAAGAGTAAAGAGTTGAAATCTAAACGGATTTTTTTTAATGAATATATAGTAATTAATTTGAGTAAATAAATATAATTCATAAACAAAAAATAAAATTGCGACATATATAAATTAATTGAATTGATAGCTCAGTTTATTTTTAAGATGACTTGCACCTAAATTAGCACATTTTATCATAACTTGCAGCATTCCCTTTAATTGAAAAGTTGATATTTTTACTTCTCTGAACATAAGCTAAGGAAGCATTGTAACAGAGTCCATCCGGCGAATGACCAGTGGCTGCTTCAGTTTTCTCGACATTTTGATGATCCCTGTAGTAAACCAAAATTTGTCGGATCATCCTCAATAACAATTTGATCACATCGCCTCAAAATTTTGCGTGGTAAATGCTATTTAAATTTTGTAAAATAATATACCCCTGTACTTGTTTTATGAATGCGTCTTGAGCTTTTACCCTAGGCATCCAGATTTTCGCAAACAAATCAAAATTGTGTATACTAATATAAAAGGAACGTACAACAAGCGGTCGACCGCTCAAATCATTAGGCGCTTGGTAATAAGCAAAAGTCGTGGCTTTCGTCATGGACCACTTAAAAAAAAACACTAAATTTATTTGATCGCACTTCAGGAGTGAGGAAAGCTATAATACATAACATGAAATCAAAAAAAAAAAATTTTATGCGTTTCTTGTAAATTATGCTTAAGAGATGTAGTACCTACAGACAAAGTACAATTTAGAGAGATCTTTCACTGACCTGTGACTCCTCTGGCGCCGTTATTAGTTTTACAAAAGAGAGACAAAGGTTATTGCAAAACGGTACCTGCATGTGATATTCATAGTTCTATTTCATTGTGTATGTGAGTGTAACAATGATTTAATATATTATTAAATCTTGGTCAAACTATGGAATGTAACGTAACGATACAAATAATTATGTAGCATAATCTTTAAACTGTAAATAGTGAATTCAATTTTTCATAATTCTGTCGTTTCCATTTGCAGTCGTTATGTACACGTACGTATGCGCTGCAGGTCTCTTGTTCCTTACATATTGGTGTTGTTCAGAAAAATATTAAGCACTAACTGTTTCCAGTAATGATTTGGGATAGAGCTATGCAAAAAGTATATTGTTACCTTTCTCTTCTTCAAAAATATTTGTGCGTAAATTATTATCAAAGGCCAGTATTAAAATTTTTCTGGATAACAGTGTACATTGTATTGTAAAAGGGGCTGAGATTTCGCATAGATTTTGACTGGTTAAAATAAGTGAATGAAATTACTACTAGTAGAAGTTCTAGGAGACAAGTAAAGTTTTTTTTCCAGAAACAACCTTTTTATCAAAAGAGTGGTATAGACTTATCAAAAAATGTATTTGATGATTGCTCTAAAAAGTTAACAGTACAAAGTGTAGGAATGCAGAAATTTTTGAATCTGACAATTTTGACCAGTCAGAGTCCCCACCCAGACTGTAAGTTATCACATTTGATCTTGGAATATACCTATAGTATATAATGTGATTTGTGGTTTAAAAGTGTATTCGCAGTATTAAACAGCATTTACATCTTTGTATTCTTCTACTACATGTGAAATACAAAATACAGTGTTATTATATTTTTTTTATTACATTTGTAGCGTAACACAGGGTTGATATTTCATCTCTACTAATTTATGTAATGTTTCAGCAAAGAAATGATAATTTATAAAAAAATAATCCATAAAAAATAAGTTAAAAAATTGGTCTAAAGAGTTTAGACAGTACTTCCCTCGCTGTCGGAAACTTGACGACTGCATGGCTATTGTGTTCTTTTCTCATTACATTTTTGTAGTGGGAATTTAAAAAAAATTGCGATGACGGCATCAACATTTTTGCAAGGACACGTATATCAGTTGGGATAGATGTAGTGTAATTCTAAGAATAAAATTATTGTATTCCCAAATTTTCGGGAAAATGAATTGGGTCGTTTTGAATATTGATTTTTTATAATCAATAAAATAACGAAACAATTTACTCGCGTATACGGCAACTGAAAATCGTTTATGTATAAACATTCTTAATTTAAGATGACAAGCGTAACAGCATACGTGAAAGTCAAACAGAGAAACTGTAAACAAAACGACCATCGGTTTTATTGCTTCGACTTCCGCTTATTATATAAAACATTGGGTTTTATTTTAATTCTTGACGGTGAAATTCACAATTGGTTGATTATAAACATGTCTATTTCACATTCGCGGAACCAAGTGATCGCATAAAACAAATGCAGGTCTGTAATGTTAAAGTCGATGTAAATAAGCGATGCTACCCTTATGTTTCAACCGAGTTTTTCCTTTAACAAATTTTGTGTCTACCAAATTGGGTTGGTTGGGGTGTAATACTAATAATAAGTGTTGCCTTTAATTTAATCAATAAAATAAATTGACTTCATTAATTTTTTTGAACCACCTCTTAAGAAAATCTAAAAAATATGAATGGAATGATAAATCACAAGTACAAACTCATCATATTTTTTGCATTTTAGATAGGATTTATTCAGCAAAATTTAAGGGTGACGTCATCAATTTTTTTAATAACATTAAAATATTCCCAAGATTTCAAAGCATTCGGTTTTGTAATTCCTGATTAAATCGATAAAATAAATTCACGCCTTCATTAATTTTTTTGAGTCACCCTGCATATGCAAATCCAAAAATATGAATGGAATGATAAATCACAAGTACAAACTCATCATATTTTGTACATTTTAGATACGATTTATTCGGCAAACTTTTGAGCTGACGTCATCAGTT